CATCAAAACTCATCACTGACCACAGCTAAAAAAAGTACTTAAACTGTGAGAGGAAAATCAGCTTCAAAATGTTACGGATCAATGAAGCAAATTAAATCTGACACAAGCCCACTCAATGTAAATTTAGAAACTATTTTTCAACATTAATGAGCGTGGTTGTATTTGTGCAGAAGCTCTCTCAATATAGTCACCTGGTCCCAAATGTGGTAGGATGAATGGTTTTGTGATTTCCTGAAGGGCCACCTTCATCTCAGCTGTTCAGCCACAAATCTCAAATGTTGCTGCCTTCTTTATAGCCCAGGATAAGCTTCCATTGGTTCCTTCAAAAATCAGAAACTTCCTAGATGCTAACACTGAATGAACACTAAGCCCTAATTAACACTCATGCCCTTCTCCCGATGGCCTCTGCTCCAGCAGAAGTATCAACTTGATATTCTTTTTACATAAAATATATATAAACAAGTAAATATATTTACATATATATACACACACACATGCTTACAGCAATGACCCTCACATTTCTATGATCTTTGAAAGGAAGAGCAACATTTCAGCTTTAAAATCTCCCATGCTTGGCATTGTTTGTAATAAAGTTTGACCGAGGACTGGGATGTTTCCATTCTGCAAACACAGCAGATAACTGCCCTGGGTTGTACACTGCTTTCAGCAGTATTGCCACTGCGCTCAGCAAAAAACACCTTGGGTTCTGCAGAGTCAGACTCTTACCCCACTTGATGGGAAAGTCTGTGTCTTTCTTTTGTGTTTCTGTAATGTGTCCTTGCTTTGTATTATTCTTATAAGCATCTTTTTTTATCCTCTAAAGAAGTCTTTGACATTCTCTGAATTTCACCTAAATTTACGTTAGGATGAGAAAAGCAATGTCTGTAAAGGCAACTGAAAAGACAATGCCTTGGGAAACATTCTGGTGACACATATTACTAGTATAACATAAATCATTACAGAGATTCTCCAGCAGCTTATTTTTGAAATTTAAACATGTGATAAATAATATTGCAAGTCTTAGGTAATTCACAGCAATATACAGATAACCATATTATCTATCACTTCTGCTTCAGATAATATCAATCTTGTAATTCCACATACTTTCAGTGACATCTTTTCAGATCTCTGTCTATTCCTTTGATGGGTGTTAGAGAAAACCATATGGGCAGATCCATACAGCAATGAACTTTCTAAGCCAAACACAAGAACAGAAACGTTTCTAGGAGAGAGAGGCTTGCCAAGACAAACAAGTTCTGCCAACATTTTAACACCACAGAAGGTCACTTAGGTTATAATTAAGTCTAATTACCATTCTCATGAATTGCAACACCTTTTCACTGGAAAGCGCTTAATGGACAGAAACGGATGATTTTTTTTTCATATATTTTCCAAGAATCAAAGTAATGAGACATTCTAATCTTGGCTTTAAACCTGAATCATCACTTACCATCATAAAGAAAAAAGGCCTGTCATCATTAAAAGGAAGAGATTTGTGTGGTTTATTCAACCCCTAATACCTCCTTACTCCTGCTCTTCCCTACTCCTCTGCAGTAATTTTACAGGTTTTTCTATTCTGTTCAGTACCACTGTTTTTTATTTTTCACTATTCCATATTTTCTTTTTTCCTTCACATAGTTTTATAACCCTTCTGCTACCTTTTTCACTTTAGCTCCCTATTTTTAATCCTCTATATATCGCCAGATCTCCCCCTCTGCTCCCCCAGCAAGCTGGAGAATCTGACAGTAGCAACTTTCTCCATTTCCACAGGCATGCTGCGATTGCTGCGTTCGACAGAACTGCCCTGGGAAACCACCTGAGCTTATCTCATCACGGGAAAAGCTGAGAGAAAAATTGGTGAAGCAAAGACATTTTTTCCCCCTTTGCTTTTCCCAGAGGCCAACGTAAAGTGAGAGAGGAAAAAACTAGAAGCCATTTGGCTGCTTCTCCTCTATCAGGAGTGCAAAACCTGGTGCATGCCCATCCTGGTCTCATGCAAATGAGAAAGCAGCTGAAAAGCCTGGGCTATCAACGTCACCCAGCTCATAGGGGAAATCTTCAGCACCCTTGGGTCTAGCTAGGGACTGCAGTTTGCTACTTGGCATCAACTGCTGTGGCATGTGGCCATCCCACATGCATGGGGGAAAAGAGCCTCTCTCAATTGCTAGAATAGTCCTCTAATAAAATGATAATTTGATCTCTCTGGAGGCTGGCAAAGCATCAGGGACTTACTTGGTTTTAAGCTCTATTAACAAACCTGGAATATAGGAAGAACTGGTCAGCTTGTAGCACACTGCACCCAGGAGTAAAGAGGTTTACGAAGACCCCCAGCAGTCCCCAGCAGCGGGGGGCACACAGCGGCAGTGCTGTCATGGATGGCCACATGCCTTGGTCTGGCATTGCTCTTCGTGGGAAGCATCACCCTGAATCTAGCTCCCCTGTTGCAGTGCTGGTCTCAAAGCTGTCAGAAAGGGCAGCAAGCAATTAGCGGTCCTGCCCCCCGCATGCTGTATGCCCTCTCATCAATGCTCCCTTCATTAACTCATCTCGACTAAAGGATGAGGCACGTCTTTGTGAAAGTCACTGAAGTGACTTCAGTGCTGCCTGTGGGCTGCCTGCTACTTCCATTTTAATTTTTAAATGGAACATACAAAGCAATTGCAGAAACAGGGCCTTCTAAGCACAGGACCTGCCACAAAACAGTAACTGTTATTAACTGTGGTTTATTTCCTCCAAGTAAAATTTTGCTACTTCTCCCTGACCTTACTGCTTGAAACGGAAATTTATTCTCCTGGTGAAGAATCTCACATACCAGAAAAGATGATTCTGCACTCTGGGGAACTACTACCTCTTAAAATATGTACGACCTACAAAATAAGTTGAATTTTCCCTTGCATGTCAGAAGTCTAGACGTATAACAAAATCTTTCACTGAATGTTTTCTAACATTTTTCTTTTAAAGTTATCAAACCAAATTTCATTAAAACAAATTCAGTATTTTCCTGTCATAGGCTAAAGCCTCATATGGTTGTGCTCTCATGTTGTGAATAGTCTCCTAGTAAATAAAAATGACAGTTTTAGTTATCATATGGTACTTCAAGTTCCACCTGTCCTACAGGAGATTCACATGTAATTAGGGAATTAAGATGCCACTTCACTTAGCAACCCCTATGTCATGTAAGGCTTTTTATTGTAGGTGGGGCGTATATCCACGTAACACATAAACATATATCCACAGCTCCCTTTTGTTTACTTCCAGTTATATTAATCTCTTGCATCTATAAGATGAACTTGTCCTCCCCCATATTATTGACGCCTGTAGCCCTAACAAAAATACATAGACCGAAATCCTTGACCCACTGAAGTTGCTGGGGGTTTTACAATGGACTTCCAGAGCTCGGATTTTAGTTTCCCTTCCCCAGCTAATATATAACTTCTCTGATTACTTTAAATCCACTTGTTTCTTTTTCCAATCTTGCTGTGTTGAAAAAACATCTGAGGTGTAGAAGGCTTAAGCTGTTCTTCTGTAATTTACAACAGTGCAAGGTGGTCCTGGGATATTTGGGTCTTGAACACTGTCTATGGTTATGTTTGCTTGGCAGTTCAGCATCTTACGACTATCCCTGCTAAGTCTAGAATTCTAAATTCTAACTGTCTGTTGCTGAAATAATCCCACACAACCTGTTGCTGTACATCTAGCCCTTGGAGTCTGTGTATGACAAGACCAAATGACATAGCAGGTTTACTATTTCGAAGTAATTTGGTACAGGTTAAGTGAAACTCTAGAGTCAGATTGGTTCAAATATTAGTTCAAGTATAGTTTCATATTTTCTCACCTAACAAGGCAAAAATCCATACAGATAACAGTGGAATATCAAACAAAACCCCATGGCTTCTCCCTTTGCTTTCCAAACCTGAAAACCATTATCTCTAGATCCACCACTGACTAGCACACATACCAGAGTACAGTCTGAGCAGACGGTTCAAAGCTGTCAATCCATTTGCAGTTCAAAACAGTGGTGAACTACTCCAGCTGTTTTCCAGATCAAAAATATTATTGTCATTTTGCTATCGCTGCGTGCTGAGGGTTATGTAACAAAAATGCACGAGTCCCTCTGCCTGGAATGCAATTAATTTCCTCCCTCCCCACTGAGAGTGGTAAGTAACAATTCAGACAGTCTGGATACTTCAGTTTTGAGCATGGCCAGAGATGCAACCCTGGAATTATTCCACATGGTAATCCACTATTCATAATGCGCCAGTCTTCTGGAGGTCTTACAGACAGGGTATATTTTGCAGTTTGGAAAAAAATAAACACTGTCGTCCTGTTTATACATGACCTCTCACTGTCTGTAGGGTACTATGAATGCTTTGCTGCAGTTCTTTATTTCAACCACAGACTTTGCTTTATGTTGGAATTTTAAGTATTCTAAAAAAGTGCACTAACTAGATGAAGTAATTGCTTCCGATCTGAAATCAACCACTATACTTGCTACATACTTTAAAATAGTGGCATAATCCCATCTTAATTTACAAATATCCAAATATCATGCAGGCAGTTACATGCCGACTCCATGCTTAAGCACATCATGCAATTTGCTGATATAAAGTGAATAACAAACTCCTCTGCTTAAAACAGTACACTTAAGAAACAAAACTACTTTCCTTCATGTCATTTTTTCTGCAGTGTGCCCTTCATCTTTCTAAGTGCAGGTAACCCAGTGATATTTATATATCAACAATAAGATTTTCAGGACAGGAGCTGTCTTTCTGTACAATGTTTGCACCATACCTAACATCCTTCAGTTGTTCCTGTGATACAAATACAATGGGTGACCAACTGTACGCTAGGGTGTCAACCAAGGTGGAACATTAACTTAATACTTAACTGCTGCAATTTCCTTTAATGTGTTATTACTTGGTTCAGCTTACTCTGGATTTCTGGCACAGTTTACAGCTTACTTCTGTAGGGAGCACCTGCAGTGGTTTTAGCATTCTTACCTGGTTAAATAGGCCAGAGCTCGCTCAGATCCTGACTGCTTTTTGGGCTCCACCTTTTTAGTAGAGATTCCAGCTTCCCTCATCAGCTGTTTTTCTTTCTTCTTACGCTCTTTTTTTAATTTTCTCTCCAGTTTCCTTCTTTCCTCTGCAGTAAGTTCTTCCTCTTCTTTTGTTGCCTGAAATAATCAACATTTAAATCAAGTGTTTATATGTCTATAGGAAAGTGAACAAAATATGCGTAAATGCAATTGAAGGGCATGGGTAATATTTAAAACCATAAGCTCCAAGCTTCATAATTTTACTGTTCACTGTACTTCCATCACCCCTCTACTCTGCTCAATTCACAGAACTGTAAATACTACACATGCAGAAATCTGCAGAATTGCCCTCTATAGGTGATTATACTGTTCTCAGCAGTACAGCAGTCTGAGCACCATCTAGCTATGTATTAAACATCACATCTAAGGTTTGCTGTGCTGTTTATTCCCTCATACTCAAATCTGAAGGGGGAATGTGAACAGTACAGGCTGTTTTGCAGAGGAGGGAGGGTATAGATTTATTTTTTTTAAAACATACATGTATTTAAGTGGGAGAAGCAGGGTTTCCTTAAGGTCCTTAATTTCTGTTTGTCGTGTAACCTCACACTTCTCTGGACCAAAAAAACCTCTGTCTGCCACAGAGGGGCTGCATCTCCATTATGCCAAAGGAGAAGATGTGACAACTACCATCTTCATCCAAGAGCTCTTGGAGATCCCTTAGCAATCTTGCATAAACATACACATATATCCCACAAAAGTTGACATTTCCTTAGGTTTGCAGACAGAGCAGTTACTTATTCATATTGAAAACCAAATTACTACGAATATATGCGTAAGTATACCCCAAATGAAAATATTTATTTCACATACAGATGAGGAGTATTACATAGATATGCTGAGTTTATTGGGGAAAACCCAGTGTGAGCTCACACAGCGTAGGAATAAAAAGCTGTTCCACAGCAAGATAAGACTGACTCCAGGGACTCCTAGAAGTCTGTGAGAGGTTCGTTCCTATCTTTCCAGGCAATAGTCTCACTGAACTGTTAAGTGTCAACTGGAAGCCTAAAAATATCGCAGCTGGTCTAATAAGAGATAGCTGTTTACTCAATGCCCTCCTCAAGATTTCCCTGAGAGACCTTTACTCATTACAGAACCCTTACTCTGATGATCATTGTACATAGACCTTCACAAAACTGTACACAAAGTAGCTTCCGGGTATCTAAACCCCTATGTACTTCAGGAAGCAGGAGGAATTTGGATGCTATGAAGCCACCTCTTCCATGCAACCTCCTAGTAACAACCGAGCAATGAAAAAAGTATGAAATTCTGCAAACAAGACTCTTACACTGTATTGGTCTTGCTTTTATATATTTCCAAGTCCAAGACTGAAGGGATGGTGCTAATTCTTAGCTTATATGATAGGTATAGACCTCACATAGTCCCAAATAAAACTTTGATACCTTCATCATGGTTTAAGGAACCTCCATGGGTCAGGCACTGCGATAAAATGGAGGCTAAACGTATGCACAAGGACCATTTAAGTATCACCTTCTCTACCAAGTTAAGAACAGAAATCCGGTAGCAAAAATACCCCGAGTATTAGCTCTTGTGATGAGCTCAGGGTTTTTAGCTCGTGTTTGCTATGCTACTTCCCTACTATCATTTGTAGCAAACTCAAAATGTCAAACAATGACAGTCTTGTAAGTTATGGGCTCAGACTGGAATAGGCTGTCAGGCTCACATTTTTTTATCTAACCGTATTCAGCACCTTCTGTTTAAATGTCCTGCTCATGACATTTAACAAGAAGAGATGGAGCTGTCAGCAACACCATGGAAACAGTGTTTGCAGTAACGTGAAACGTGAGAGATGTTGGCCAAACAGTAATGATTTGCCAATGACTCCATTAATTAATCTACTTCCTCAGCAACAGTTGTACCTGGTTTGTTAAGACAACCTGAACAAGGAACAGATTCCTGCGAGGCCAGGCTATATTTATAAGAGGATGGTGTCTTTGGGGAGGGTAAAATCACCCACTGACAGCAGTGGAAATGGCACAGATGTAAGCTGGCCCAGGAAATGCCTACCTTCTCTGTACACAAGTGGACTTGGAAGCAGACTCCTATATGACAAGCACAGAAAAAGAGGATAGTGCATGCAAGTGTTTGTTGAGCTATTTAGATTCATAGTTCTTCTGCTCAAAATAAACACTTTCTGATGTTTCTTCCAAATCTGCATGTCCCTCAGACACTCTTGCTGCAAGTCAGTGAAGGTGGAGTATACAGAGCCAAGTAAGGCAGTCTGGAGGTTCACCCATGCCTACGGCACCTGTATTAGCATCTCGTATCCCAAGATAAAGGAGTCTAACCACCACGAATGTTGCCAAGAACAAGAATTAAATTCACAGAGCGGACTTGGTTCAGATCCAGTAGCTTTAGTACTTGCCAGGTGGGGTGTTCTGCTAGAGCATCAGAAACCCATGGAGGCCAAACTGAGTGCGAAAGGAATGCTCCTCCTCCTCTCTCCGCTCCCTCCTCACCTGTTTGAGGAACTCATAGCTGAAACCTGAATCCACCAGAAGATCAATCACTTTACAGAGAGATTGATTAAAGCCACTTCATAAACTTACAAATCCTTAGTGTTTCATCAATTAGTGATCATCAAGTCCTTTCAAGCGAAAATCCACACGTGATGCTAAATAACATTATTCTTGCTGACATTCAAGCAAAGGATGGTTAAACAAGACAACACCTGAACATGACCTTATTTGCCAAAGACACCTGTTGAGGACTAAACACTTGTTCAGTGTCATTTCGTGCATCATCTAGGTTTACTTTCTGACTCATCTTTGCAACTTTCTATTTTCAAAGACCAAAAAAGGTCAAGAAAGCAAAAATTAGAACAAATGGGAGTGGGACAGTAAAGAGGATTTGCTTTTTTTGTTTAAAATACTTTTTCGCTATTTTTATGGAAAAGCCAGCATTCACATGCAAACACATGCAAAAAAGCAACATGTGTTCCGTTTGTATGGGAGACATTTTATAACTCACGCTGAGAATAAAATAATATTTAGGGTGAAGGTAGGTATGTAATTGTTATACAGGAAACAACGTTTTCATTTGCAAAGCCACCCTGGTACTTACTAAAATAACAATCCAGCCACGCAAAGCCCAGGAAAACACTGAGGGTGGTCATTTATAAAGTGTTTGTAAAAGAGTACTACAGCAGCTGTCCAACAGACGACACACTACAGTTAATCTTCTTTTAAAAATAACGTAATGAATTTGTTTACTTTTCTGTGAGCCATGAAGCTTTCAAATAAAGTGACTGTGGCACATCATTACAGCCAGTCTGATAAAGAGGCCTCTGCTTCTTCATACTTACAGTAAATGCATATCTCTGTACCTTCCCTTCCCCCCACATTCCTTGCATTATCAAAAAGCTTTTTATCCCTCCCTGACCGCTCCATTAAAAACAAAACAAGTTGCTCCCTCCTGGTAGGTCCTAATGTAAATACCGAGCCCTAACAACATTTGTTTCCAGCATTGCAATTGATGCACCATGGGCCGTCTGAAGCAAGAGCACTGTTCTCCCTGCAGGGCTCGTGCTGTCCCGGCTGTGAAAGAGTCAGGATTTACAGCTGGAGGTACCTTCTGCTAGCCCACAGCATCATCCAAGGAAAATCGGATTCATCGGGCTTCTGTCTGGGACTCCCAGCACACATACTGCAAAAGCACTCACAACTTGACAGCTCAGTTCTTCTAGTCGCAGCTATACTTCTATCCATCCACATCACCTTGAGTAAGCTAGCAGTACGTACCACAATTCGTCCTCGACCGGTTTTTAATTTGAAAGCCTCGAGTTTTGTTTCCTTCATAAAATACCTACAGCTGGTGGTATATTCTCCACTGAAGCTGAGGGTAGTTTTACCACAATTAAAAAAAAAACAACCAAAAAACCACCACCACAACAACAACAAAAAAAAAAAAACCCACAAGCAAAAGCAACCTTCCTCAAAACCTGGGCCTCAAAAGAAAACAAAACCAAACCTTTCACTAGAATTTAAAGCCTAGCTGTATTTACTTTAAGTTGGATGATCTCTGTTATGCTACTCTACCGATGCATCTCTGCTTTAACTCAACAGCCTTACTTTTGAATTTCGCTTTTCCTGCACCATTAATGTGACTGTTCTTCTGAAAGATCCGAAGTTTGTGAACCATTCGGATTAAGAGTTTTAATACTATGTCATCATTTAAATTAAAAAAAGACAACCAACAGGACTTCATTGTTTTGAGGTCATAAATATTCCACATTGTCTCATTCTATATTTATAAAGCGACATCACAATTTGTAGTGCTACAATTTAGTCTTAACTACAACATTGTAAAGTCCGTATTTGAGCGTGTGAGACACTTGTTTATTGATGTGATAAATTTAAACCATATGCATACAGAAAAACACAACACTTGCTTATTTGCAAAGCCTGCTGAGAGCTACCACACCACCTTGGATCGGGGGCTCATTAGATCTCAATCTAAACAAGGTCAGGCAAGGTCAGTACACTTGAATGAATGACATTCAGAGGAGAGCCAGTGTTTTCTCGTGATTAAGGAGGTGGGAGTCTTCCACTTGGAAACTTTCCAGAAGGCCTGAAAAGGTGCTAAAAGGGATATTGCCACTGGATGCCATATTTTGAGTAAAAGACAGACCTCCAAATCTTTAACACTTACGCTCATAAAACCCCATGTCATCTTTGCAAGATGATAGACACCAGTTAACATTTTCCATTATTCTTTGTAATCTGGAATTATTGCACAAATTCAGAACATTTTAAGCCTTCTTTAGAAATGAATTTACCCGTTATAAAAAGACAGCCATCTCAAACTGAAGCAAAGCATTTAACAGTGTAAAGCAGTCCTGCTCAGAACAGAGAAAAATGACTATAACTGCAAGAGAAACTGGAAGAGGCAGAAAGATGTACCCAAGACAGGATTTCTTGACGATATCTGACCCTTTTTTCTGCAGCAAGAGTGGCAAACCCAAACAAGTGTAGTTTTTCAGAGACCACATCTGCATAAAAGCTTATACTGCCAGGGGACTATGAACCATAGTAGCTGGGCAACCAGTATCAAGGTGGTATTAACAATACTAATTGTATTGTGCTTCAGCAAAGCAGTAAGGTCATTTTTAATTTGTTTTCAGATTTATAGTTACCCAGAGGTTCTTGAGTACCTCATGCACGAGTAGGATTGAAGACATCTTCTGAAGACTGCTGTTCCTCCTCCTCACTCACTACTGTTTCAAAGATTCCTACAGTTGCAGCCCCAGTTGTCTGTTGCCAGCATAGAATAAGGTTGACAGAGTCAGAAACTCCGAAGAATTGTGACAATGAACCAAATACTCATTAATTACAAATTTGCCTTTGGAATTTCCCTGTGGAGGTCTGAACTTCCCACCTGTTCAGGGGTTCAGCTTTGCTTCCAAACCTCTAAGCAGTAACCACAGTCCAAACCACAACACCAAATTTATTATTTATTAGTACCAGTGAATCCAGCTCCTCCAAAAGCCAATAGACTTTCATCCTTTTCTACCAGCACAGCACCACAAGTCTGTACAACGGCAAAGCAAGCAACATCAGAAATTCAGAGGAATAAATTATAACTTGACTTAACAGTGACAAACATATAAAGAGGGTGCCAAATTTTTGAACTCCAAAGAGAAAGATGGGGAAATGGATGATCCAGCTTGTTTTGTAGTAGGAACATTGTATTACCTTGTTTGTTCATTAAGCTCATGTTATTTCATAACTTTTAATATAGAGAAATGTCAAAAGGGGCTTTGTTCATTGACCAAGAACTGACGAGCCGCTTCCCATCTGTCACATAATGGCTTCTGCTTACAACTAGCCTTTTGCCCCAAAAATGTTCTGTGCATGATATCAGCATGCAAAATGCTCAGTCTTACACAATACACATGAACCCAGATAAATAACTGGCCATCTGCCAGCTTAAAAACAAAAAGCAGAATCTATAAACACAGTTCAAAACCTACAAAGAAGAAAGCCCGGCAAATCCTTAGATGCAAGGTTCATAAAAGAAAGATTGACAAATGATTTACTGAGGCTTGCCAAAGAACTGTGCTACAACTACAGCTATAGAATTTGCATAAAATAGTTCACGGCCATATTGTACTTAAATAACTATTTTCTATCATTTAGCACCTTATGAAAAGAAGAAGTATGACCAGAGAAGGCACATGAAGTTTCCCTACCATGCAGAAAGCAAATTTTGAATGAAAAGTAACACTTGTAGAAGTATACCTCCTTACACCATGTCTGTAGCACTTAGAGAGGAAAATATTTTTTTTCCCCATTATACATTGCTCGAAGAAAAAATGAAAAGTTTTCAAAAAAGTGAGGTGTTTTTAGAATCTCAACTCCTCACAACAAAAACAACTGGGAATAACTTACATTAAAAGTTGATTTGGAAAGGTTTCTGCAGATACAACCCAGGCAGAAAAGCCTCAAACAAGTTCTGCAGGAAGCCAGATTTACATAAGGACAAACTTTTTTATCTTTCTGATCCAGGATAGGATTCTTTTAGTGGTCATGTAAATGTTTTTTTTTTTAAAAAAGTGTCCTTATGTACACAGGTATGGTATCTCACAAGCACAAGTGATCAGGTAGCACCCTCAATTTGCAGCTGTAATTTAGAATAGATGCACCTTTATTAACTTGAAATTGGGCTTAATTTACAGCTACGTGATCTTCACATGTTTCATAGATTTACATCCAATTCTGAAGAGCACAAAGTGTTATCATTAGGCACTGCTGAACAAGAAGAAATTGAACAATTTACGAAACTAAATGAAAGCATTTATCGGCACACACACCAACACGATTTACAGAACCTAGCTTGTCGAATTCCACTTTATAGATTGTTTGCTCCTATAAAATACATACTGTGGCAGACTAAGTTCTAAGGCATAAATTAGTACTGTATTTTATTTCTCAGTTTTCTCCACCAGTATCACAGTCCTGAATACAACAGAAATATTTAAGACACCACTGCAACTGCAGGCTTGGGGTTTTGCTGCAGTTTTGGTTCATTTGCAACTACAGCACTGCCAGGAATTTTCACATATTTGTCAAAGGACATTGCTTACTCTCTTACCCTTAATTAAACCACGTTAACCAATCAGGAGGAGATGAAATTAAAAAAAAAGGAAAACTCTCGGAAATCATTTGTATCCACATCCCTGTGGCTTACACACAGCCCTTCTAACCCCTCCCCAAAAACGCACAGAGGTATTTTAATAGAAGGAGCACAAGACTGTTGCAGCACTCGGCATTTTCTTCGCCACCAAAGTTGTCGCCTTTAGGGGTGCTGACAATTTCTTCCGAAGTTTAAAAAGGCTTTGGGCTGCAAGAGGAGGTAGAAGCAGAGCACAGGCTGTTTTGAAATCCTTGCTGGAGAATTAAAAAAAAAAAACAAAAAAAAACCACCACCAAAAAATCCCCCCAAACCACGAGCTCGATCTCCTCCAATGAAAGAGGTACCACAGGGTGTAGGCAGGTTGCCAGGCGAGCTCGGCAGCGTGACCGCACTGCATTGAGTTTCTTTAATGAAAGCCAGGAAAGAACACATTACACAGTGTTTCTTCTGAGAGCCAGCTAGCCTCCAGTGATTGAAATCAATAAAAACAGTCGGCAAGGGGCCCAGTGGGGGAAGAGAGAAATCTCCACTACAGCATTCAGTTAGCTTTCCACTTTCTCCCTCCCCCCCTAAAGTTAAACTCTGAAGATCACCATGACAAGCTACTTCGCTTCCAGCGCGGGGAAGACGCTGGTGGGGATTTAAAGGAAGCGAGCGCTTTCCTTCGCCTCCCTGCCTTCGCTCTCCCCCCAGCGCGAAGAAAATGAAAGGCTTGTTTGGAATTTGAATCCTGCCTGGAAAAACTTCTTCGGACAAGTGCATCGTTCTGCATTTCAGGAAAGGGATGGATTTTACAGTTGGAGAATGCTAAAAGGTGAGAGGGGAAAGAAAAGGAGGAATCTGATTCAGCCAGAGCCCTCGTACAGGCTAGGATGTCCACCACGGTGGAGGGAACCTCTGGAGCTGCGAGGAGGACTGCAAGCAAGCGCCTGAGACCGGCACGATCTGCACCCTAAAGTGGCCGAAACATTAGGGAACACGTGACCGCCGCGCTGACCCAGGTAAGCAGAACCTGCTTTTAACGATTCTCTGCACCGCGTCCAAATTCTTTCCGCTTCAGCCTCTGCAGATTGCCCCGCGTCCTCCCTCGTTAACCTCAGGCAAGTTAACACTAAGCTTGTCCCGTCTGAAAATGGTGTTGGGCCACTAATCCTCACTGAACTATAAAACATGCACAAAAGCCCTTTGTTTACTGTTTTTGCGTTGCGTTTGCTGGTTGACAAGGTAGGACGGGGCCGTTGCGTAACTCCAGCCCCTCCAGAAGGAGCTCACGCTCCCGACCCAGGAGGGCCTGCTCAGCGTAAGGAAACACAACTGACCCCGCATGCTGGAGCCGACTGCGATCCGAGAGAGTGCCAGTAATGAATTTCTAATATGGTCCATATTTATCTATTTTATTTATGTATTTTAATCACCATAGCAGCCACATACAGTACATACTTGCACTGAGTTCCATGTGCTGATCTGTACCACAAATCACAGCAACTTGGATGCACGGGGGCTTGTCCGATTGTTTTGTCGAAAAGAACTTTGCAATTACTTGTTAACACAGCCAAGGGGGATTTCTGGTATGTTGTTTAGGAATGACTGACACAGAATTTACCCAGCACATGTATATTTTGCCATTACCCTAATGCATGCAGGTTTTCTACAGATACCCCCATAAAAATGGGAAAGACACAGATCGTAGCTGTAGATCACAACATCCTTCTCAAGTTTTTGGCCAACTTCAGGTGATTTATCTAGACTTCAGTGAGACACAAAGGGTGAAATCAAAGCCTGCCTTTTGGAAGGCAAGCAGAAATGATGATGGCCACATCTCTTTTCCAGCAATGGCAGGAATTCACTGGGACAGACAATGAATAGGTGCCTACAGAGCAAGAGCAACCACGGCTGCCCCCTCTGTGCTGGCCATCCTTAGATGTTGACAGCAACACACAGGCTGGCTGCCAGAGAGCACTGGGGAGGGACTGGGTGCCTCCACTTCCACTCAGGACCCCCCAGGG